CACGCAGGAAAACAAGGCAAAAAGAAGGCATTTCCAAGCCACAGGTATTCTGTCTCCTGACATCGGGATGGGGCTTGGAGCTGGGATGGGGCTGTTTTCTCTTGGGCTATGCAGGGAGAGAGTGTTCTACAAGGAGAGTGTTTTCCCTTTTCTTCCCTTTCTTTTTGGCTTGGAAAGAAAGTCACACGTGGAGCAAGGAAATGCAGGCTGTCAGAGGTGCCAAAAAGCAACGGCAGACCCTAAAAAATGCCATAGGAGACTTGATGCAAAACACAACACTTTCTTCAAATGAGATGGTTGGGCTCTTTGCTTCATTTACTCTTGGACATTAAAACTTTCCTCTGCAACCACACAACCTTCCAGCTTCAGGGTACTGTAAATAAAGCACTGATCCCTTCCAAAATGGGTGTGAAAATGCACAGGATTGGGGGCACAGCAGGTCCTCTGGAGCTATGGGCCAAGATGGGACAGTGTCTACAGCCCCACTGTTGTCACTGGTGTCCCGCAGAGGACCACACATTAGTTGTAGAGAATTTAGGGGCCATTTTAAGAAATTACTCACTTCTTGTTTTCTGCAGGTGACTGCTGAATAGAAGAGCCTTTTTGCTTCCCAAAGCGCAGGCACTTTCTGTCCTGGTTTTAATATCTTTTTGGATGTTCCATTTCTCCTGCACAACTAGAGGAAGATGCTCTTGCACCACTCGCCAAAGGGTTTCAAGCCAAGGGCAAGGAGTTGCCCATCCAGCTCCATGCTACTCATGCAGCAACACTAGGAGCAAGCAAATGGTGTGTGTGCAGCATCACCCCGGCACTGTTTCCCCCACCATGGTCTGGATGATCCAGCAGATAACAGCAGCTGCTCAGGAGCAGGAACGCAGCCATATGTTGCTGCTAACAAGCATTTACTGAAGCTGGTTTCGCTCTGTGATTCCCATGTGTCTGATTAGTGCACAGCTCCCCTGAGCAGTTTCCAGATTTTTCACCCTCCCCTTGCAAATATTCGTTTTTCTTTTTTTTTTATGGCATTATAAGCAAACCAGAAGATGAGCATAAAATGGGTCACAAACCCAAAGATTTTAAAAGAATTAAAATCATTTAAATAGCTAAAAAGCGATCCACTTAATTTTGCTTTTGTATATGTTTTCTGCTCAGAAACACACTGTTTATGTGCTGTGGCCCTGCAGGCTGTGAGTGCAGATGAGATGCTCAGCCACTGACTGTCTGCCCTGGGAGGGGGGTTGGTATTTCCATCTTTTCAAGCCATATTTTTGGACAGTGCCCACAGGTCCAGACCCCATCCTGAGCACCTAATGCTGCAAAGTGCTTCTTGTGAGCATGAGGGGAGGAAAGTAAGTGGTTGCTGTGAGAGCTTGGGATGCTTTGTTGGGATTGAAGAGGGGTGTATGACCCCATCAGCCTAAATCCCTGGCCCCCAAGGTTGGGAGGATGGACTTGGACCTTTATTTCCCATTGTATTCCCAGTGAAAACAGACTGGGAAGAAATCAAGCTGACTGAGATGGGAATGATCACTGGCCTGTGCCAGCATCCCATCCTCCTCGGAAAGGTTTTGCCATGTACTGCCCCATCATCTGAGCAGAGAGGAGGGAGCTGCAGTGATGGGAACATCTCTCCCCATGGTTAAGCTTATCTCACTGAACCTATGGGAAAGGAAAGCAGTTTAGTCGAAGCTAGTTCTTCCAAACCATGCTGGTAGGTAGATGACAAGTGCCGTGGAAGGTGATTCATCCCACCCTTGGGAGGTCCAGTGTAGGTGGGGTGAATCACCCTCCCGCAGTACCTGCCTCCCTCGGAGCCAGGATGGTTGCAGAGGAAATCACATTGCAGGTTAGGACACCCAGAACTGAAGTGTCAACATGCAGGTGTCTCAATGTGCACAGTGTCTGTTACTTCACTTCTATATGTGAAGTTTGGAAGGTTGAAGTTTGAAGGCTGAACAACGTGGGATGAGTCCCAGTGTTCCTACCTGGAACCTGTTTTCCAAGGTTTTGCACCACTTTCAAAAATAACAAGGAGCAGCAATGTGAATTACAAGGCTCACGTTTGTGTCAGCTATGTTCACAGAATCATGGAATCAGGAAATGGTCTGGGCTGGAGTGACCTTTAAAGGCCATCCAGTGCTAACCCCCTGCCACAGGCAGGGACACCTTCCACTAGAGCAGCTTGCTCCAAGCTCCTGTGTCCAACCTGGCCTTGAACACTGCCAGGGATGGGGCAGCCACAGCTTCTCTGGGCACCCTGTGCCAGCGCCTCAGCACCCTCACAGGGAAGAGCTTCTGCCTAAGAGCTCAGCTCAGTCTCCCCTCGGGCAGGTTCAAGCCATTCCCCTTGGCCGGTCCCTACAGGCCCTTGTCCCAAGCCCCTCTCCAGCTTTCCTGCAGCCCCTTTAGGCACTGGAGCTGCTCTAAGGTCTCCCCTTCAGGATCCTTCTCTTCTCCAGGTTGCTCCAGCCCAGCTCTCTCAGCCTGGCTCCAGAGCAGAGCTGCTCCAGCCCTCGCAGCATCTCCATGGCCTCCTCTGGCCTCGCTCCAACAGCTCCACGTCCCTCATGTGCTGCTGCCCCAGAGCTGGATCAGGGCTGCAGGGGGGGTCTCCCCAGAGCACAGCAGAGGGGCAGGATCCCCTCCCTGAGCTGTTGCTCATGCTGCTGCTAATGCAGCCCAGTGCTCATCAGTACCTTCTGCAGCTGGCCCTAGAAGCCATGGTGAGATCAAGAAACTACGGCATCGTGAGCTGGGGAAGAGCCCCACATGCTTCCATCCCCAGGCTTGGTGCTCATCATGCCCATCCTGGCTGGGGAAGGGGAGCAGAATCCCGGGAAGGCACCTCCCTGCTTAGCTGTGCTCCCACATGGATACCTGTGGCCTGGAGTCACCACACAACATCAAAAACGGGAAGAATTAGGGTTTTCTCTAGTTCTCCCCCTCCACCTCAAAACATGATGGCTGCCAGCACCTGGCTCCATCCATCCCTTCCCAACCCAGCACAACATGGGAAAATCAACCTTAACTCACTTATCACAATGCCAACAGCCCCCTGGGTTGGAGCTGTTACCAGCTGGATGGTTAATTAATGTGTTCTTATTTTGGCTTTCCAAAAAGTGCCTTTGGAAAGCATCAGATTTATGAGACCAGGGAACATCCAAAGACCTGAGGCCATAGCGATGGCCATGCCGACCTGAGCAAGGAGGCAGCTTGGCTTAGTGCAGTGGCTTAGCCTTTGCACCACAGGCAAGAACCAAGTCTTGCTAATAATTTAAGATCATCAATTAATGTAGTTCAATAGATACATAAAAGGATCTGGTATCTTTTTTTTCCATCCACTTTCTAGCATCAATCCAAGTTAAGGGTGATTGTCCCGTGAGTAAGTAAGGCAAATCTGTTTGTGTGTGTGTTCCTCTCTCCTATTTTTTGTTTTGATTTTTTTCCCCTACTGTTTTGTACATAAAGCAGTCACATAAAAATAGTTATAAATAGAAAAATTGCAAAGGCTTTTCCCCGCTAGACAAATAGGAAGGAGAAAACAAACAAAAAAACCAACCCAACCAACCCAACAAACAAATCGAGACAGAAAAAACACCTTGCTTCAAGTCCTCATAGATTATACAGTACTCAGCATCTTTGGATACTTTACAATGACTCCAAATCGTAGACAAAAAAACACCTGAAGTAACCGTCCATTTGCAAAATGTCGCTCATGTAAGAAGTTGGTATGGATTTAAAAAAAAAAAAGGTTTGATGCAGTTTTAAGAAGTTTTCTTCTTTTTTTTGAACTCTCTCAATTGACTTTTTGCAGACTGAGTCTTTGCTGATTTCTGCTTGGAGGAGGAAGCAAGCATTGGGCAGCTCCTTGGGATCGTTCCTGCTAAGGATGGTCTCAGAGCAGAAGTCCTTCATACCCTCATGGTGGGCTGTGGATCCCCTGTGCCCCCTCCCATTCTCTGGTGGGGACACCATCATCCAGCCACCGCTTCAGAGCGACACCATTGATGGGCAGGCCAAGAAGTTAACGAACCCATGGTCCTTTCATCCCCTTTGATTCTGCTGATGGTGAAAGGTAACAGTAAAAAGAGAAAGAAAAATCCCTAACTTGTAACATTTACATTATCAGGTGCTGGCTCCATGTAAAACCAGCTTCCTGGGGCACCCACCTCAAGCTGTCTCAGCCAGGGGTGAAACTAGGGTCCCACCACATCTAAGAGGAGCAATTGGAGGCAGATAGCCATCAAAAGCCTTTATGCTCAAAAGTAGCTCATGGTTTTAAGAGCTGAAGGTGGCTGATGGGGCGATTCCAGCCACTTTTCCAGCCTCACAAGTAATATCAGGTAGGGGTGGCCAAGCAAGGGTCTGCAGGGATGCTGGAGAGGACTCCTGACCTGTTCACCACCATGGGTGAGCTTCAGCTTGGAGCACCCCATTGTATGTTACCACCTCATGTTTTGAACCAACAAATGGTGAAGAAATAGTACTTCTCCTTCTTGCAAGTAGACAATCTCAATCTCATCTGCAAGACACCTTTAGTGGAACTTTTTTCCACAAAGATCCCTTGAGACAAACAGCAGGGATATTTGCACATCCAATTTTTTCCCATCAACATTGCAGATTCAGGGACACTCCAGTGTTTTGTGAATTTCGTCATCAAAATCTGTATAGGAATAAGGGGGAATTAAGGAAAAAACCCTATACATTTCAGAACGGTCAGTGGCGGTGAATTCTGACTCTTTGGTTTGAAATGATGTTTTCATTTCAAAATTCCCCCATGGTTTATTTCCGCAAAGCAAGGTTTTAATAAAAGCTCAGAATCAAAAAATTTCTGATCCTTCCGAAAGTTTTCCTTCACCTTTTCAAGCAACTGCAGTCAAAGTACTCAAAATAGGCTTTGGTTCTCCTTCCGAAGTTTTGAAATGGACAAAGAACCAAAATAAGTAAAAAAATCCCCTTTTCCACCCAGCTTTGCTTCTGGGTGATTTTCTCTCTCTCTCTTTTTTTTTAATTTTTATTTTTTAATTATTTTTTTTTTTAGCTTTTTTTTTTTAAATGTTTTTAGGGTCCCACCTCAGGGCTTTCCCGCCAGCCCTGCAAATCTGATATACCACTGAGAAAGGCAATGGCCAAGATTCTTCCCCTCCCAACATGGTTGCTTGACCCTTCCCTTTACCCCTTGTAGAATGAATATTGTTGCCAGACATGGGAAATAATTAAAAAAAAAAAAAAAAAAAAAAAAAGGAAAAAAAAAGTCTTTTTGACCAAAAGGGCCACGGAATGTAACAAACGAAAACCAAGTCTGGACGGTTTGTCCAGTGTCAAGTGGGTCCCACAGGTGGAAAATGGGGGCCATCTCCCCCAAGAAGAGCCATCTCATGGTGACGGCCATGCCCTGGACTAAGGCAAGTGACATTTTTGTGAGGGCTGAAGACAGCAGCAGTCCTGGCCTGGCCTTCCCAGATGGAGCTGTGAGCGGTGGGTGGTTGAATGGGGCAGTAAGTGCCCCACAGCCCCAAAGCCAAGTGCTTTGTAGAGTCTAAAGTGCTGGGGCCGTGGGGCACAGGACCCACCTATTCACCCTCTTGCCCTGGGGAAGGCCCCATGCCTCAAACCCGATGGCAAGCCACAGTGGGGAGGGTCAGAGAGCTTCTTGGGGGCCAGATGATGTGAAACAGCAGGCAGGGATGCTGAGAAAGCTGGTCATCCTGTTGGGAAGGGAAGCGGACCTACGGTGGGACCGGACACGGGTTTATTTGCTTGCCTCTGAGATGGGAGCCACATGGCCAAGCCCTGCCAAGCCATTGAATCCCGTGCTCCATGGATCAGGAAGGGGAAAGAAGGGTTGGGCAGCAAGGTTTTCATTATGGCCCAAAGCGAAGGCGAAGATGCTCGCATTCCTCTCCATGTCCATCTGGGCTCGCCTGAAGAGCTTCATCTGGGTTTCTTCAAACTGGCTCTCCAGCTCCTGCAGGCTGAAGGGGGACTTGGCCCCACTCAGAAAGTGCTTGGGGCTGGGGCCAGGAAGGCACATGGCCGTGCTGCCAAGGTGGCCACTCATCTCCTCCAGCGTCGGTGGCATCACGAAGCTCTTCTCCACCGGTGGGCCACCGGGAGCAAAGAGCAAGCCGGCTGCCCTCCATGCTGCGGGCTTGCGTCCTCTCCGGGGCCGCGCGATGCGGCAGCTCTGGCGCTTAATGTGGCGGTGGAGGTGGTCGGAACGGGTGAAGCTCTTGTAGCAGAACTCGCACTGGTAGGGCCGGATGCCGGTATGGATGCGCATGTGGTTCTTCAGGTCGTAGTTATGCACGAACTTGGCGTTGCAGTGGATGCACAGGTATGGCCGCTCCCCAGTGTGTTTCCGCATGTGGATCTTGAGCTTGTCCTGCCTGCAAAAAAGAAGGCACTTGGTCAGGGGTGTGGTTGAGATTGCTCCTTGGATCAGGAGAGGGAAAGGCAATGGGAAGGTGAGGAGCTCATCCCGGGGCTTCCCCCAGTGTATAGACACTCTTGGAAATCGGTGTTTGCATCCATCTCCTCCTTCGCGGAGGGACAGCACCTCAAACCCAGCTCTCCATGTCAGGAATGTGCAGCCCACCCCAGAGAGTTCAAAACAGCCTACATTTGAGGAAAAAACCTTCTGGAAGAAACCCCCAAACCATATGGTTATATCTAAATAAGTACAGCTATATTCCGCCCGCCGACTAGGAAATTAGTTGAGTTCCGAGAGCCTGGCAATGCAAGGCAATGCTGTCCAAAAGAATTCCCTCTTGGAGCCGATTTTCCTTTCCTTTCATTCTCTTGCTGACCACTGGGTGTCTCCGGAGCTCTGATTTGCAGCGGGAGCATGGCACAGGGTGAGGCAGCAGAGGGGCAGGCAGCGGCCGGCACTGCTGTCCTTCCCCGCTTCGCTCTCCAAGGTCAGCACGCATCCAGCCTCACACGCGTTCTGGGGAAGGTGTTTAAATACACCCGTAAAACCCACCCCAAAGGCACGTATTTACACATACAGTGGGTCTTTTTTAAGGGGAACATCTAAAACCAATAATATTTTCCTAAGCTGTCAGCCCAATCAGGTTTTCTTCCAATGAATGCTTCCTTCTGCAGTCTACAACAATCACAGAACTTGCAAGGTGCTGATTCTGCACTGATTTCTGCCACCTTGCCTTTGTGTATCTTGATACAGTTTTCGCTGATGTGACCAGCAGCACCCCAATGCCATGAGGAGTGCAGCCTTGGTATGGGCATCCCTGCACACCAGTCCCTCAGGATCAAGGCTGCAGAGACTTATCCCTATCAGACAGTCACTTCTTCATCAGATGATGCTTTATTGCCTTTAGGAAACCAGTCCCAGCCTGGTCCTGCATCTGCAGCAGCAGCACTGTCCAGCTTCTTGCCTGTACAGAGGTTGTAATGAGCTCATATGAGGTTTACAACTCATGCACATTTTTAAGGAGACAGAAGAAAAGCATCTCTGTCCCCATATGCCAAGCCCAGAGCCAGATCCTGACTTCCCACTCTGAAATATTCAAAGATGCTGTTATCCCAAAAACTTAACAAGGGTGCATTTCCTTGAAAGGGCTGAAATCAGTTCTCAACAGCACACGAAGCTGCATGGAAAACTTCATCCCAAATGGATAATGTGCTGCGAAGTCGTAAGCAGATGAACGCAGGGGTTTGCAATGCGAAATGTTCGGAAACGTTAATGAAAAGCAGAGCTACCAGCCCCACCTATAATATAATTTAAACCTATATATGTAATGTTTAACCTAGCAGGATTGCTTTTCCTAATAAACAAGCAGTGCACCAGGATTACTGTATAATGTAAATACAGGCAAAGCTTTTTTTTCAGGCTATTACACATCTCCGGCAGCAGATGGGGAGAAAGAAACTCAATCCTCCCTGCCCCGACAGCATCTCCGTGGGATGGAAGAGAGGTTTTATGGCTATAACTGGAGAACCTCAGAGGCTGGGGGTGTATGAGATGCTCCGGCTGCAGTGAAGCACCCAGGGGAGGATGCAGCATGGGGAACGTGGGCTTTGTGAGACGGGAGAAAGAGAACCGTGCTCCGTGTGTGTGAATAACCTTAATGCAATTGCATTAGGAGAGCGATTAGGGCTCTGCGAGCTGTCACAACACAAATAATAGGAACAAATAATGTTAACCTTTCTGGCTGGAACAGTTTCTCCTTGAGCACTCCGGGGCTGTCTTGGTGGAAAAACTGAAATATTTGCAGTTTTCTCCAGCATTTCAGCAGCACAAACCACCAGAGCAGGAGCTGAGCAGCCTTTGTTTAAGGAAAAAATTAATGAGCTATTAAATGAAGTCCTGCTTCCTGCGATCAGATGTCCCTGCGAAGCGGGAGTGCCGGATCCAGGTGCATGTGAGGTCCTTGCTGTGGGATGCAGGACCCACAGACATGAAGGAGGAGGGATCTGATGGGGGGAAAATGTATTTTCTCTATTTGTTTATTTGCTTCTCCGCAGTTGCCAGAGCACAGAAATAATGCAAAGGACTGACTAGATCAGAAATCCCATTTGGGAACCTCAGCTTCCCTGCACCCTCATTCCCTGGGGACCCCATGGGTGACTGTGGGGGCATGCATGTCCCTGGTGCAGGCGCTGCTCACTGCTGCGGGTGCCAGTCTGATGCTTTCGGGAAGCATCAGATTCCCCTCAAGAGCAAGCATGTAATGTGAGTGGCAGCGCTCAGGAAATCCCGGCAGAAATCTCTTCCTGCATCTCAATCACTCCACTTTGCTTAAATACACTTTTCCCTAGTGGAGAGCCCTCGCATTAGAGTAATGCTGAAAATGGCTAAAAACCTCAACTAACCAATCACAACCAAACAGCTGCGTGTTATCCAAAATGCATCTGAAAATAAACTGATGCTTTCAAATTTCCACTTCACTCAGGGTGTTACATTAAAAAAACCCCTGCAGGCTCTAGCTCTGTGTAGGGTGACCCATATGAACAGCTCTGGTCTTGTGAATGAATCTGGGAGGACATCACCCACACCACTGGGTTAATCCCTGTTTTCTTTGGGGTTCTGTTCTTGGATTAAAATCCTCCTACCCCTGTGCTTTGTATTTAGAAGCTGGTAAATGTATGAGAGGGTGTCTGATTTAGCCCTGTGTTAGTAATTAGCTAAACCATGCTAGACCATCTCCATGTGGAGCTTTTAACCTCCAAGATGCTGATTTAACCTGTCTGCATTAGGGGTCAGGATACCTGAATTCCCACCTGAACCCTCCTAGCAACCTCATCAGTGACTGTGAGTCAGTCCCAACATCTCTCCATGACTCAGTTTCCCCAAATTAAGCCAATGATGCTGCCCTTCTTTGTAAAGGACTTTGGGGTGCCCCTGGGAGTGCTCAGTTTTATATCCCCATTACAGAGAAGGTGTTGATGATGGGTCAAATCAAGCTATTTCCTCATCAGCAGCTAGCACCCGCAGCATCACACCCAGGGCAGCGATGGGGCTGCAGGATGGGGCTGTCCACGTCAATCCTCCAGCCTGGGATGCAGCCACGCTCACTGGGCTGAACCCATCCCGCTCCTCCCAGAAGAGCCCGCCCCTCTGGAGGTGAGAACCCAGTGCTAACCTCAGGATGCAGCAGGATCCAGAGCTGAATTCCTGCAGGTGGGAATTAGCACCCGGCAGCGGCCTTTCCCCTGCACATAGCAGGGGGAGCCGGCTCACGTCGCATGCACCAGCCCGAGGCATGATGTTCCCTGCATTATAATACGGTGTCTGCTGTGTTAATGGAGAGGAGCATGGAAATTTATTTTCAGGTCAAATCCTCATCATCTGCATAACTTCTACTTGAATATTATCACGGGGAGGGAGAAGAAAAGGCAGGCTGAATGTGGGAGCACCCCAGGTGTCCGGACATTGTCAGGAGCTCACTTTTGCCTACTGTGCATATTATTTTCCTCTGGTTTGCTCGCCCCAGCTTAATAGGGCTCTCTCTCTCTCACACGCAGCCAGGAGCTGAAATACCATGGTCTTGTCAGAAAGCTTTATTATTATGGTAAAGATTGTACTCATTAGATATTAATTATACCCAGCAAGAGCAGGTCCAGGAATCTATTTGTCTCTGCTCACCAATTAAATCTGCCCAGCTTTTCAGAGACGGGTTGCAAGCAGTAGCATTAGATTTGTGTATTAGCCTGCTCTGATTTATTACAATTGAGGGGTTTGCTGGGGTAAAGAGAAGTGCAAAGGCTGGGATCTGGTAGGAGAGGTGGACTGGCTGGTCATGCCTGCCTTGGAGCAGCCCATGTTGGGGCTGGTCTCACATAACCTAGGTACCCAAAAGTTAGTTGCTTTAGTGAAGCCCTGTCTTTGGGGTCAGGGATGGCACCTTTGCTCACCTCCTTCCCTCATCTACCACCCTGAGGGTGCTGATATCTTTCCACTGACCATAGAGGGAGCCCAGGTGCCAGGCTCTTGGGTGGCCAGTGTTCAGGGTGATGAATCATAGAATCATTTAAGTTGGAAAATACCCGTAACATCATCAAATACAACCGTGAAGCCAACACTGCCAAGTTCACCACTAACCCATGTCCCCAAATGCCATATCCACATGTCTTTTAAACACCTCCAGGGACTGTGACTCCACCACTGCCCTGGGCAGCCTGTTCCAGCGCTTGACAATCCTTTCCGTGAAGACATTTTTCCTACTATCCAGCTAAGCCTCCCCTGGTGCAGCTTGAGGCTGTTTCCCCTTGTCCTATTGATTGTTACTTGGGAGAAGAGACTGACCCCACCTCACTATTAACATATAATAATTAGGACCTAGCCTCAGAAAGCCCAGACCCTCCCATGTCTAAACATGTGCAACTGGGCTGTGGTCTGCACTGATGCCAAAATGTGCAAACACGAACTAATTACATCCCGCAGCTAGATGGCCCTCCCAGCTCAATGCATCTCCCAGCACATTAGAGACAAAACCTCCTTTACTGTTTGACTATCTGTTTTCCAGCTCCTTCTGGTCCAACTGTGGTGAACTATGGTGGGGTTGAAAATACCCTGTTGCTTATTTAAGCTTTTGTCCAGTGAGGGGATGGATCCAGTGAGTTGTGGATGTGATCCACAACCTACCAAAATCAGTAGGTTCATTTCTTTCCTCCACCCTCTCTTCCTCTCTTCTTGTGTTTTTCAGAAGGGACAGAGATCATGCCCTGCCTTCTTTACTGCTTTTTGGGGAAAAATATATGTGTAGCTCAGGAGTCACCCACAGGTCATGATGTGCCCCCCCCCAGCCACCACCACCGCCCTCCCCACACATGGCCATGCACAGCAGAGGTACCCAACACATACCTGGTAAAGCGGACTTCACAGATATTGCACATATACGGCTTCTCTCCCGTGTGGGTCCTCATGTGTCTGGGCAGCTTGCCTGCTCCCATGATGACCTTGTTACAGATGGGACATTGCTGTGACGCCTTGGGCTTTATCTTCCTCTCTTCCTCCAGGGGCCATGGTGGAAAAACTCCTCCAAACTGGGTAGCGCTTAGGAAATTGAGATAAGCGCTATACTCAGTCTCGGCCTTAATGTGCCCTAAGGGAGCTGCTGGGGTGTTGGTAAATATGTCCTTGAAGAAGTCATTAGGGAAAGGAGGCGGAGGCAGGTCTTCTTTCTCCTCCTCTTCTTTGATCTTCCTCTTTTTGATCACCAGATCTAAGGGGCCGTTGTCTACTTGTGGCTCCTTGAGCTGGGAGAAGGAGTTAAAATCACTGTTCCATAGATGTGGGAAGAAGCTAGGGGCAAAAGGAGAGAGAGCTGGCCTCCTTTCTGGGATGTTTGACTTAGGGTACAAGTTTTCCCTTAGCAAGGACTCGATGGAGAAGTCTCGTATCACACCCAAGTGTCCAGAGGAGTTGTTGGCTGGGTAGTGATTTGGACAGTCTTTAGGTGCTTCTGTATATGCTTCTTCGGTAAGATCAGACTTAGAAGGGCTTTGGTGACAGCTTACTTCTTGGACATCAGTTAGATTCTCCTGATTGACAAAATTTTCCACTTCCTCCTCCTCCTCCTCTTCCTCCTCCTCTTCTTCTTCATCTTCATCATCATCTTCGTCATCTTTGTCATCTTCTTCTTCTGCCTCTCTGTCAGGCTCCATGATTTCAAGGCATACATTGATAATGCACTGGATCTCCAGCATCTTGGCAGCGCTGAGGATGTGCTTGACATTTGAGGTGGTGATGGTGAGAGTTGAGGTGTAGGCAAACTCGAGGATGGCAGAAAGTGCTTCAGGCTTGACAAAGTCAATCTCGTAAACATAGGGCTGGTCTGTTAAAGTGCCGGTAGTGAAGAGTTTTTTGAAGTACTTGCTGCAGGCAGCAAGGACGGATCGATGGGTCCGGTACTCCTGGTCCTGTACAATGAGGATAACATCACAGAGGAGACCGTCATGCCGCTGCTCATTTAAACCACATAAGACTTCACTGCTGTGGTTTGGGAATGGGATCCCAATAAGATCTTCAATGCCATTGGCCATATTCTCATTTAGTGCCCTAGGACAAAACACAGACAGTGGAGCATTAGCAGAGGATTCACAGTCAGTAGTGCTGAAATGACCCTGTCTTCTTTTGGTGTCCTCCTGTCCCATGCCTCAGACCTCTATAATCACCCTCTGCTTCTCCATGTCACCTTCAACACCTTCCAGGTCCTCTGTGATTTAACCTCTGCATCCTTCCACATCTCTTCATCTCTTCATCTCCATCCTTCTCAGTTCCCACCCTAGTCACCTTTTCATAACTACCACAAGCTCCCTTGTCTCTTTCACATCCCTCCCCCAGGAACCTTGTGCAATGACTTCCCTCCCCGTCACGTTCCTTCCATATCCTCCCACACCCAACATCTTTCCAGGCACATGTTGGCTTTGTCCTGCCAGGAGCTATGTGGGGAAAAGGCAATGCTGTATTGCATCACTGTGCCAAGTGCCAGCTCCTACAGTACTTAAACAAGATGAGCCAGGGAGATCCCATCTCATCCATGCAGTTGTTTTGAGGACTGGTATAACTGGATGTCCCAAACGAGGTATTGCTGGTCATGGCTGTTTGCTGCAGTAGGACAGAGGTCCTTATGGACAAGCAGGTCTCCAGTTCTGTGGCCTCCTGCTACATCATGCATGGAACCTATCACATGTTACCTTAGCATGTAGACAACCCACATAGAGATGTCTTCCTAAGGGAGCTGGGTGGCAAGAGAGGTGTCACAATGTACCTGAACACTCAAGAGAAAGACAACCAGGGACCAGGTCCCTGGCCAGAGCAGATGAATGTCTGCTGCCTTCACCTGTGGGCTTGCTCCATCCCTAATCCTGTTTTCACTTGCTAGTGTGGTATCAAATGCCCTGTTCATCTGGCAGACACCTTCCCCTGCTACTGCAGACCCAGCTTCAAAGGGAAATCTGGAAGCAAAAAGCCCACACCCAAAAGGAAAACCTGATATTTTTTTTTTGCCTTTTTTTTTTTTAATCTGTAAGATGTTCCCTCCTTCGCATGGCTCCAGCAGCCCTTCCCTATGAGAAATCCCAGGGAAGGAGAGTGACTTCCTCCAGCAGGCAACAAATACATTAATCCCATCACACACAGAATACATCAAACAGCCAGAATAACTTCGAATACACTAACCCTTTGGAAACCCCCAGGACACAGAGCATGTATTCATGCAGACAGCTCACAGCCAAGGGGTTAATCTCCAAGAGAGCCCACGGTTCACGTAAGTAAAACTGCAGCCCCACACCATCCCCTTTCGCAAGGCTGAGACCATCAGGCAGCCACCCAATCCCACCCTGCACCACCTCCATATCTCTCCTCGGATCCACCGCCATGTCCTGCTCAGTTTCTAATTCCAAACCTCTTTCCCTCCAGCTGGTGGGACCAGTAGGGACCTGGTCTACCCCATGGCAAGGGGCTGGCTCCCACCCTACCACCTGCCTCCAGCCCTTGGGGTTAGAAAGAGCCTGGTGGGAAGGAGGTTATCCAGGGAAATCCTTGGCCAGCAAGCCAGTCACCCTTGGGGAAGGCTGGGGAGCGGGTCAGACTGCAGCAAACATTCCCGTGGGAAGAGGAATGCTGTCTGCCTTCTCCTCCCTCTGTAGGGTCAACCCCCAGCCGAGACCTTGCAGGTATCTCCCCCAGCACTGCTGCATGAGAGCTGGCAAGCAAAAGCGTTGGGAAGACAGAACAGCATAGACAGATTGCAGCCCATGGAATGGTTGTGGACCACCGGGAGCAACGTGGGATGGGGGACAAACTGAGCTCGTGAAGCCTTGCAGGGGGCTGGAGGGCAGCCCCACCTTGGGGACCCCTCTCCAGCACCTTGCCATGTCCAGAGATGGGCAGAGGAACTGGGAATTACATCCCTCTGAGCCTCCCTCCACTCCAGCCACTGGTATTTGTGCCTAACGAATGATGCTCCAGCCCTGCATCCCACGGTGTGGCCATTAGCTCCACGCTAATTATGTCTGTTGTCTGAAACAAATTGATTCATTACAGTGTGCTGTGCTTAACCATGTTAACTAGCTATGCTCCTCCACCAGCTCGACCGGCTCTGTATCAAACCTTCCTTGAAAATCACAGATAAATGGAAGTAAATCCAATGTGTTCTCCAAGTGGAGTGTAAGATAATGAATAACCCCTGAGCCAGGGAGGAAAACACAACTTCCTTTTTAGGCCTTTGTATCCTTAATAATAAGCATAAGCAATTAAATTTTTATTGCTGTATTTATCTTCTATTCATTTATTTTTGTTTCGAAGGAGCATTAGTGCTAAAGGAGCTCCCTGCATGAAGGAACGTGTCTCCCTGTGAATCTATTTTGATCTTTTATTGCCAGATCACCCTAAATACAAAGATCAGAAAAGCAGAATATTGGGCTACCCTGCAATTAATCTTACAGAGGTTTTTTCGGGACATTAAACTCCATCCTCCTTGATGGTGGATTATTAACTCAAGCAGGAAAAAAAATTTAATTAGGAGATCAGGGACTATATGTGATTATAAAATGAAATGATGTACAGCTCCTTTTGGTGGAAATGGACTCCTTTTCCTTTCCTCCTGGCCCTTTCCAGGTGTGGTTCTGTTAATTGGAGCACTTAGGTAAGCTGATAAAGCCAGGGTGCTGGCAAAACTGAAGGTGATTCTTGTCATTTAAACGGAGGAAGAAACAGCCCGTTCATTTGCATGCATTTGCATTTTTTTAACTCTCAGTGTGGTTTGACAGCTCCAATCTCAGCGAGCCTGAGAAATGACCTTATGGTTCCCATGCCCTCGGGGAGGGTGATGGCCAGAGGCTGGAAGTGTGCTGAGGTTGACGTTTTCCTTCCTCCTCCTCCTTTCTCTCCCTCCTTCTGGGCTCCCCTCTTCTCCTCCCCAAGCCAAGGGAGGGGTCCTCAAGAATTAACAGGCATAAAAACAGCATCCGATGGTGACAAACGCCACCGGTGCACGCACACGCACGTGCAGGCGCTGCGCCGGCGCCAAGGAGTTAAACAGAAAAGTCCCATTTTATAATAGCTACAGCATTGTTAAAATAAACCAGGGAGGGGGGGAAGGGCGGAGGGCACCTAAAATAAATGTATTCTGCAGATGATGTCTGAAAACACTGCATTTATGGGCATGCTTAAAACTCATTCATTACTTTCTTGCCAGGAAAAGCCCCATTTATAAAAGCTTTGTCCCCTTTTTTGGGTGAAAATCGTTCCTTTTTAAAGCCCCCAGGTACGAGCCAGGGAACACAGTGGTATTGTAAACCACCTGTGATGTACACTCCTTGGGTGACCCAGAGCTCATCCAGAGCACTCTGCTGCTCAAAAACCCTTCTGGTTTTTATTTTTATCTTCTGGTTGCTTTATTCTCGCGTCTCCTTTTAACTTCAAGCCTCATTCAGTATAATACAACCTCTGAAAACCAGTAATATAAAACTGAAATATAGGGAGGTGAAATGTTCATTTAGCATCGTGGTAAGTAAAAAAATAGAAGCATGCTCAATAGGCTATAGAGATTGTATGTATAGAATATAGATAAACTAATATTGCCTATATCCATTTGTATGAATGGAAATGGGGGACTGACACAGCTTGAAAGAGCCCTGGAAAAGATGTGCCAGTACTGAAGTGGGGCAGAAGCCTGTCCCTGGAGTCCCACTATTGCTCAAAGCCAGGAGCAGGAGACCTGTGAGGGCTCCTCATCAGCACTTCCCTCTCCCATCTCCTTCCTCATCTTCAGTGACACTGCCCTGCAGAGCCCATGGAGGAGATGAAGGCTGCCAGGAGGAGCCCAGGCTTGTGCAATGCATGGCTCCTGGTTCAGGACCCTGGCTGGAACGGGGGATGTTCTCTTCCCATATGTCTTGTCTGTGGGGACAACCTGAGTGTTAGCTGGGAGATGGCAATTTTGGCCTTTACTTGTATACTGGCATGTAATGCCATGACTATTGCATGCAGCAGTGATTTATTATGTGTATAATTTATATATTTCTAATCTTACACAATCACATATTTTATCTATCTATATGTATGTATTTGTGTATGTTTATATGTTTATGAAATTATATCTATATATCAATATATCAATATATTTTTATATATTTTCTGTATTTTCTTATTTCATGTTTCTATATTTTGATATTCACATAGAGATTCTTGGAGCATTTTCTCTTAAAATTGCTTGGCCTTCTCTATGCTATGGTTTTCCCCACAGGAAGGTGCTCTGAATCCTGTCTACAGTTCTTTTTGTTGTGCCTATATTCACTGTCCCCAGAAAGACATGGGGGTGCCGCAGGGTAAGCCGGGGAGCACGAAGTGGCTGCATCCTCCTCCCAGGCCACGCTCATTCTGCATTCAGCACAGCGGAGGAAGGAGCCTGAGGCTCCAGCTGATCTCTGCCTACTACTGGTGTCAAAATGACACATTCCAGACACATTCCCAATGGTATCTCCAATTCTTCCCTTCACCCAGCCTGTGCATGGTGCAGGGTTTCGGTGCAAGCCCAGAGGCAGGGCTTGGGGTTGAGCATCCCCTCCCCAGCTGGATCCTGACACTCAACACAGCATCCCTCAGGCACAAACTCCCAGGAGGGATTCAAGCTCTACACCTGAAGAGGTGTAGACCATCAGCAAAGCATGCCAGAGGTGGCTGGACCTGGATTCAGGGCGCTGAGCACCCCTGGCCACCCCAACCTGCTGCCCATGCAGGACAGGCAGTCAGCAGAAGGTCCCAACAGCTTTCCCCATCGCTATTTATTTCCAACACCAGCTGCCTCCCTCCCCTGCTTGGAGCACCGGGCATCTCAAGGTAGAGATACTTTGATGCTGCTTTACTACCTGCTCCCCTTTCCTAATCCCTGCTCCAGGCTGTGGGAGCAGGGTGGGCTGGCTGCTCTCCCTCTGCATCCCACCATGGTGCCATGTGTGTGGACCTGCCTGCCACGTCCAGCAGCCCATAAATATCTGTGGGTTTTCTTTTTCCCCGGCTTTATTTGTGCCTCTGTAATGAGGCAATTAAGATTAAGGCATGTGAGACTACCCTGATCTGTCAAAATATTACAGCTACTTTCTAGGACATACGCTGACCAGTGATCGACAGCACCTGCTCCATAGCCACGGTGTTACTTTGGGGGAATAGGAGGAATTGCTGTTAATCTGGGGGGAACAGCTCCATCCTCACATCAGCCAGTTGCTCCATGACCTTAAGCAAGTCCCTTGTGACCTTGAGCAAGTCCCTTGTGAAAGTGTCCTTGAGCAAAGCCACCCACATTGACACCCCACCCAGGGACAACACCATTGCCTTGGCCAAACGCTTGACTCCAGTTTGGAAGACTCCTCTCATACCAAGGAGTTAGGATCCCCAAAACCCTATTTTAAAGGCAGGCAGAGAGGTGGGTCATCATTTTAACTTTTATAAAGAAAACCCCCAATAAACCAAACAAAAGGAATGTGTAAAACCCAAAAAGGCAAATATTTCCTTAAGCACACCTCCCCTCCGAACATCTTGTCTCCAGAGGAACGTGTTATTAAACCACCCACCCCAGTACCCAGCGT